ATATCCAGTTTGGAGAGGTAATTTTAACATTTAAAAACATTATATCCGGTCATGACAACACTACGCAGCGGTTGGTTTTTGGGGTGGGTGGGTTTCAATAAATTTCTTGTTATTTGTGAGTGGAAATAGCAGCAACAAGCTGAAGCACAAAAAATAAGTCATACAAAATTGACTGCAGTGTAAAGATTCATAAAATAGTGACTGCGTTACTATAGTTTATACTATAGACTGGAGTTGTTTTAGGAAGACATCAGTCCCCTTTAGTCTTAGCTCATACTAGCCTTTAGCTCATCAATTTGATAAACATGTTATTGTTTTTCCACCTCAAAGTTAATCAGAGCTTTTTTTATTTATTTCCAGTTCCCCTCTTCGCTCCACAACGGGGACAATAAATTGCTGGAAACTGGTCTTTATGTTCGGAGCAGCGGCTGGAAGGCAAACACAATGGGTCAGTCGAATATTTCAAGAAAAGTACTTAAACAATAAAAAGCATTTTTAGTACAAAAGAACAAAAAATCCCCAGTAATGTTTTGTAATAAACAAATGAATGTTTTAGTGGTTTCCATGGAACTTATCAAGATTTCTTTACAGCTGGATTCCCACCACACCCACCCACTAACATTTGACACATTTCTACAGATACAACTATTAAAAGATTCAGCTTTTTTAAGAGTTTAATCAGACACGCTGAGCAAACGTGTCTTTGACACATCTGTAAATACAGAAGCAGAAGATGTATTTGTACACATGCTGTAAATACTGTGTTTTCATACTCGTATAAAGGCAGAAAAACACACGTGCATCATTTTCTCTCATACCATCGCTCTCTGCCAAACACACATTCCTCTACTCCGCCCTACGTTCAGCCACAGTAAATTAAAACCAATTACAGTGTATATAAATAAAGGTTGAATGGATATGTCTGTGTACTAGAAGGGCCAGCTCCACCCACATGCCTCCTGAGACACCACAGCTGTTCTGCTGCTTCTGCACTCAGAGCTCTGTGTGTAGTCAGTACAAAGTCTGCATGTCTCTATATGTCTGAGTGCGTGTGGATTAATAAATGTCTATATGTGTGTTTGTGTTGTAGTTTGTGGGTGGGAAGCCCCACACAGCAGGCCTGAAGCAGGCGGGCCAGTTTTAACTGGCTCAGACATAACTGAACACTAGAGAAGAAACGGACACGGGGACGTAAGGAAACAAACGGAGTCAGAATACAACTTGACACTGAGACAAAGTTGGACAAACAAACAAATACACTACACTGTTAAACTTGAATGAAATATCTTTATTCCTGTCACTCTGTTTTGATTTGTGTTGTTCGTACAAAAGCAGCTGCATGTCGTCTCAGGAGACTCCTGGAGGAGAACTTACTTGGCCTTGGCGAGAAGAAGAGTGTCTGTGAAGAGAAAGAGGTGTCTCTCTTGGGTCTGCAGCCCAGTCTTCAGCTGCGTTTGGGCATGGCCCAGGAACAGGCGCCCAGGACACTCAGCAAGGAAGGCCTGGACCAGGGAGCAGGACTCGGGGCTGAGCGGCGTCAGGGAGCTCTCCCTGCAAAACAAAAACAAGGTCATTACACAAAACGGTCTAATTAAATTCAACTAATGACACTCAAAGGAGAAATCTGTCTTCTGCAACCTTTCTACAATTTAAGATTCCATCTACTGGACATCAGGTTTGAAGTGAAGATGAGCATATGTGGAGACATTTTTTAATAATAGTGTGAATGAAAGCATTAAAAAACGTTTCTCGGCACATAACTGGTTTTGCACTTCCGTGCTGTTTCAACGATCCGTGCACTGAAACGTTCAGCTCGTTCAGGACATTCCTGCTGTCACTTCTGGTATTTGTTCCACGTTTACTTTTCAAATATTTAGCTTCGTCAGCCATGTTTTTCTCATTGAAAATGAATGGAGCTCCACGTGTCAAACACTAAACTGTTTACAACCTTTTATTGCTCGTTTTAGCTTTTGTTCTGGTTCAGCTTTTTTCAGCTTCTTTTTGCTTATTTCAGCTCGTTATGCTCCTTTCAGATTAAAAAATATCAACTAATATTTAGGCAGGTTGTTTCCTGCTAATTTTATCCTTTCTTCTGCTGTTTTTGCTGACTCGTGTTTTCAAGTTTTGATGCTCTTTTCAGCCTCTTTAGCATTTTCAGCTACTTTCTTTTTGCTAATCTCAGGATTTTTCTGCTCAATTCAGTTACTTTTTTGCTAATTTCAGATTTTTTAATAATCTATTCAGCCTCTCTGCATATTTCAGCTTATTCTGCTCATTTCTGCTTCATTCAGCTTTTTATCACATTTATGCTGTTTTTCTGCTGCTTTCAGCAAATGTCAGCTGTTCAAATTTAACTCACACCAACGGCGTAGCGTTTGAAAGTTTCCAACATGGTTGTAAGCAGCTTTTAACAATAATCATTCAGCAATAAGCATTCGCACTGTATTTTCACAGGAAATGCAATTTCTCTACTCATTACGTATAATGTGCGTGCATGTTAAGATGTTCAGGGCTGCAGGCTCGGGTGTTTCCTGTCGAAGGAGAGCTCCTCTAAAGGCGTCAGAATACAGCTCTAGTGCTTTACAGTTGACAGAAACTATACTGAGAAAGGTTTGAGATGTTTGCAATGACTGTTCTGAGAGAAAACGTGCGTTCAAAGTTCAAATGTCAAGGCTGCACGCTCCTTAAAGTCCTCATGAAAATAATGCTCCGTTTCAAGACGTTTGAGACTTCCTTGTGATCGTTGATCAGCAACAGTTTCAGCCAGTGTTTAATTTGTAAACCCAACAATGCTGGAACTCAAATAAGTGAGGAAGAGGGGGTCTGGGGGTGCTCCCCCTGAAAATTTTGAATAAAGTAGATGCCATTTCCTGCATTCTGGTGTATTTTACAAAGATTATTACAGCAGATTAACATGATCCAAAAGATGTAAACGCTGTTGGTATTGAAATCTCCAACGGCAACGTGTTCGTCGTGCAACAAGGCGTTCACTTCAGGACAAACTGAGGTCGCTGACTGGTCTGTTGCTGACATGCCTTCTGGATTGATTGACAGGTGGCGTGACCCCGTGCAAAAAAAACAAAAATCATATACTTTATTGGCCCGTTTAAGAGTGTCATCACTGATTCAATATTTATTCAATATTTTGGTGAACCTAAGGTTTGAGAAAGTGCTGTGTGTCATCACTGTATGTTTCCATACAATGGTGAAATTGGTTCTCTGCATTTAACCCATCGCACCTGAGATCCACCCAGGTGGAGCAGTGGGCAGCCATGCAAGCTGCCCGGGGAGAAATTGTCTTGCTCAGAGACACGACATGTGGGAATGGCTGGGAATCGAACCTGGGACTTCCGGGTCCCGAGTCAGCTGTCCTACCTCTACCCCATCTTGGTCCCTAAACTAGAACTAAGCTTCCCCACAAAATCCTAATGATGGTTTCTTTTATTTTCAGGGGTGCCGAGTTAAAATTTATGGGTGCTTGAGCACCCCCAAAAAGAGGGTTAAAATCACCACTGAAGCCAGTTCATGTTTATAATTTACGTTTAAACGCTGTATGTGTGATTTATAAGTATACTGAGTGCAGGATCATTTCTTACCTTACTAGTTGTTTATTAACATTATTAACATTATTAACTGACTTTTTATGTATATGAATGTTTCTGTACAGTGTCCTGAGATGACTTCTGTTGTGACTTGGTGCTAAATAAATAAACTGAATTAAATTGAATTGTATCCCACAGTGCGGTCTGATATGCCTCCTCATCTTCCTCCCTGCTCTGCACCTTGCTCCGTGTCTCATTAGCAGTCCTGTGTTCTTTATCCACCCATGGCCTCACACAAGGGATCGGACTGAACTTGGACAAATGAGGTCTGGCAATATTGAGAAAGAGCAGGTCAGAGATGGTGATAGTGCAGAGAAGCTCTGTTTAATCCCCGTTCACATTCCAGAAAGCATTGTCAGTGAACACAATCCACTGTGCCATCCGCCGTTGCCAGCTGAAACTCTACAGTGCAAAGAGGATGCCATTTCTAAGCAAGCTCCACAAGCTCAGACGTTTGCACTGGGCCAGGGGTCATTTAAAATGGAGTGTGGCAAAATGGAAGACTGTTCTGTGGTCAGATGAGTCACGATTTGAAGTTCTTTATGGAACACTGGGAAGCCATGTCATCTGGACCAAAGAGGACAAGGATAGTCCAAGTTGTTATCAACGCTCCATTCAGAAGCCTGCATCACTGATGGTATGGGGTTGCATGAGCACTTGTGGCATGGGCAGCTTGCATGTCTGGAAAGGCACCATTAACGCAGAGAACTGTTCAGGTTCTAGAACAACATATGCTCCCATCTAGACGTCATCTTTTTCAGGGAAGACCCTGCATTTTTCAACACGATAATGCCAGACCACATTCTGCAGAAATCACAACATCATGGCTACGTAGGAGAAGGATCCGGGTACTGAAATGGCCAGCCTGCAGTCCAGATCTTTCACCTATAGAGAACATTTGGCACATCATAAAGAGGAAGGTGCTCTCTGTCAGCTCCTCTGTCATGCTGCACACTCAGTAATCACTCAACTCATGTCACCTGTCACCGCTCATTATCCCACAGCTCCACCACCTGGTCCAGTCAGTACTTAAGTTCACTCATTCCTCTCAGTCTGGGCCAGATTCTCTATCCTGTCTCATCAGCAGTAGACTTTCGAGCATTCCATTGATTGACTCATCACGTTCATGACCCTTGCCTTGACCACGACCACGCTTTTGCCTCAGCCCTCGTCTGCTTTTGCTCATCTGATCAGGTACCGACTCATGCTCTTGTTTTTTGACTCTCTTTTTGGATCACGTACTGGATACTTCTGCTGAACTACTGACTTCACGGTATGAACTCTGCCTTTCCCTTCTGACTGTTTTTTGGATCACGGATTAAAGGTCAAGCTCATTCTGTATCACGGACTTATCCTTATCCCTGAATCTGATTCCCACAGATTCATTTCCCCAATTAGTCTTTTTGGCCCAAGACGATTGAACAGTTAGAGGCCTGTATTGGACATGAATGGGAGAGGATTCCTATATACGCTGCGCAGCCCCTGTGTCATATGTTGGAGCACGTTAGGTAGGTAGGTAGGTAGGTAGGTAGGTAGGCAGGCAGGCAGGCAGATATAGATATACTATTTTGTATTTATTTATTTGTTAATTGTTAGGCTTCTTGAGCTTGGACCTGAGTCCGAATTTCATACCATAAACATGCAAATGTGAGCTGGTATGACAATGAAAAAATCTTTGAATCCTTGAATAATTTCAAACATGCCACAGACTGGATGTTAAAGTGTTTGTTTAAGATTGAGAAACAGCAGGTCAGAGATGGTGATAGTGCAGAGAAGCTCTGTTTAAGCCCCGTTCACATTCTTCTTTCAGTTCATCACGTCTTTTCCTCCCGAGTCCACGTACTCTCTGTGGGCATGGATCACTGTGTGGGGACGGTCTATGTTGAAGTCCAGACAGAGCAACTCGACTTCCATCTGTTTATAGAGTACATCTGCACCCTCAGGCCAGTACTGTGGATAACACACCTGCAGCTGCTCAATAAAACCATCATAGCCACTTTTGTCGGGTAGGCGCACACTGTGGGACAACGAGCGCTGCTTAGCCACACTTGGATAAAACTGCCTAATATTTAGCGCTTTGTCATTGCTTAGAAAAGAGTTGCTCTCAATCCTCCTGCTCAGTTCAGATAAGCGTCCAGGTCGCTCTGACATCGCTTCAAATACTCTGACTTAAGACAGTCACCACTTGCTCTTGCCGAGATCGGATGCTTCTCCCCTCCCTCTTCGCTTTGCTTTGCTGCTCTGTCTCTCTGTGAAACTGCTTGTGAGACTCTTGCATTTCTTCTGAATCATAATTATAGACTTGTTTTGATCAGTTGGTCCTTCAACTCAATTTACAAAATTTCTTCAAAGAGAAGACAGGCTTTAGGCGAGCCGATTTACCCTGTTGGCACACACGCAGATGGATATCTCATCGACTTGATGATGTGTCTATCTGCTGCCATCTGTGGATTTTAAGGACGCATATTTAATTGGATTCACGATAACTGGTTCCTGCTTTTTGGATTCAGCTGGTTGATGGTTTTAGCTACAATCAAGGAAGTCCTTGGCAGCTAATTTGGACCCGATCACGCTGTTTGCCTTTATGATGGCTTGGTTCGTGCCTCGAGTACCCAGACTCAAATGCTTTGGGCTGAATGGATCAGCTCTCTGGGATTTTACTCAGTCACGTTCCATCGGTGTGGCCACGTAATTTGGACATTTCAGAACCGAGTGGACCAACACAGACTCAAGATAAATGTCATTAAGTTCTGCCTGTCCCCAAAACAACTGTGTGTTTATATGAATTTGGCTCCCTTGGCTGGCCTTGAAGGTCATCTTATCTGAATTCACCTGGAGAACATGTGATCTGACGCTCACCACCCCCTCCCTGAGGAATTTCCAACTGATAACCAGATGAAAACAGCTGAATAAACATTGTGTCATCATTTCAG